AGAACAAGAGTGTTATAATTCTTACCAACAGAGTATTGTTAGCTTCTTGTAAAATGCTTTAACTACATCAGGGTTCTTAGGGACAGTAGAGTATGCACAAACAAAAAACAAGTCTACAACTCAAACAGGATGCAGTACTTGTGCTTATAAATCATGTGAGATATAAACCATAAAGCACGTAAGAAAAATTATGTATCACCACAATTTTTAAAACAGACCCCGTGGCAAATAGTTCTTCAACAGGGATTGCAGTCTGCGATTGTACAGTCTGTAATCTTTCTCCCTAGAGGTTGCTGTGAATTTCCTTCACAAACACACACACACACACACACACACACACACACACAGACATACACAGACATACATGCACAGATGCACACACAAACACACACACTCACTCACACTCACACACACACACACACTCACTCACACATGTGCGGTAGGCAAAATTCTACGGTGGCCCCTAAGACCCCTGCCCCCCTGGTTGAGACCCTGTGTCACCCTCTACCCTGAGCGCGGGCAGGCCCTGTGAACATGGTGGGAGAGCACTCATGACTATGCTATATTCCTATGACAAAGGAATTTTGCAGATGTAATTAAGGTTACGAATGAGCCGACTTTGAGTTAACGGAAAGGGAGATGACCCAGGTTAGGCCTAATCCAATCACACGAGCCCTTTAGAAGGAGAGAGTTGTTATTATTAGTTTACTTTTCTGGCTGGTAGCAGAAGGGAAGCAGAGAGATCTGAGGCCCAGGGCATTTGGCACCGAACCTTGACGGGCACCCTCCTGGGAAGGGAGGAGGAGCACCCCGGACGGCCCTCAAACCAGTGTGCCGGGTTTCAGGATGTGGTTGTGCAACTGGGCTGAGTTACACTAACGACGGCCATCAAGGGGAATGGTGACCGATGACCTCCGGGCATCAGGACTGGTGGCGGTCTTGGGGGGACAATTTCAGTTACGGGTTTGTGACACAGAAGAGAGAACCGGAAGAGCCTGCAGCGGGCCGTTGGGGGAGAGGTGTCCGTAGTTACAGGCGGTGGAGAGGAAGCTGGGGGGAAGGAGACCCCGGTCAGCGTCCGAGGGGCTTGTCTGCCAGAGGAGGGAGGAGGCTCCTTTTCCTGAGACTACAGAAGGCAGAGAGAATGGACAGAGACACGTGCGTAACTGGAAGGGACAAGCGCACCAGCGAAGGCCCATATATAAGGTCTAAACATTTAAAAGCTGTAAATCAGGCTACGAATGGTTAAATAAGTCATGTTCTGTCCTCCTACTTTGATGAATGTACATCGTGATGAGCCAGAGAGCCAACGTCGAGTTTCAGACGCTCGGAGTGCCCGACGTTCTCTGTAGGGACATGGCCGTGTGGGCAGTACGGGCCCCGGGCTTGCAGCCCTTCCCCACGTCTCTCTACAGTGGGCTCTGTCCCACTCCATGAGGCACCTCACATGCACGTGTCCTCATACCCTCCACCCAGCTGCCCCCCGGCCACCGCTCAGACTGGGCGCTCACGCCGCTGGCCAGTCTGCCTGGGGAAGGCAGACCTAAGGGGAGAGGGAGAAGGTGCTGGAAGCAGGCCTGGGGTCACCTGAGCAGCACAGCTGGGGGTCCCAAGGGACCGGGAGCATGATCTGGAAATGGGCTCTAAGTGAGCGTGCCCCACTGGCCCTCCAGACTGCCCACCTCACGGGAGGGGCATGGTCAGAGGTGGGCTGAGCGGCGCCTCGGGCGGGAGGCTGGAGGTTATTTTATGCCTGGTTTTCAGAATTTTTTTTTTTAATACCAGAGATGATACAAAATAATTGCGAGGGAAATTTACCAATACATTAAAAAAGCTTGGCAATAAATGCTTTCTAAGGATGTAACCAATTCCATATATGAAAAAAAAACCTCTCAGTATAGTTTGCTAGCAGCGTAGCGAGATGGTAACCAACAGCATTTGAAACCGAGCAGCGGATGGCTGGGGACAAGGGACAACGAGAGGAGAGTCCTGGCTTTGGTGTCTCCATCGATGTGGAGCGAGCCCGCGCCACCACCTGGGAAGCCTGCTCCAGGCCCGCCACGTCCGGTCTACCAACGGTCACTGCAGAAACTGTCGTAAGCCAAGATTAAAGTTGTCCTGGGAGGGGCCGGGCAGGCTGCTTCCATGACAGGCTGGTGAAGTCATCTGCCAAACAGGGTCCCGCACGCGGGGATAAGTCGGGGTTCTGCAACCGGAGGTGTCTCGTATCCGGCTGAGGTAAGAGGGCCGTGAATACGCTGGACCTTCTCCTCCCTTTGGACTGAAGGTTAAAGTTCCTACGTATCAGATGACCGTGGACGAGGCTGCATAAATAAATCTCTGACCGTGTGTGGTTTGCTTGCAGGGTTGCCATGACTAGTCACCCCAAGGAAAAAGTCGCTAGCTAACGATTAAACGAGTAGCAGCCAAATGAGTTGTTGGATGTTTTTTTATCAAAAACAGATACTGGCTAATTAAATACTTCAGAAACATTTTATTAACTATCTATTATTTGACTGATTATCTATTATCTATCTATCTATCTATCATCTATCTATCTATCTATCTATCTATCTATCTATCTATCATCTATCTATCTATCTATCTATCTATCTATCTATCTATCTATCTATCATCTACCTACATACTGTACTTCTTCGGGCAAATGAGATAAAGTGTTGCAGACCTCCTTTTCTTCCTCTCTCCCTTCTTCCTTTTCCCCCTTCCTTTCTTTATTTGTGTAAGGAAAGTGCTATTTGCAGAAGGATCTGCCTTTGTGCCTCGTTAGTATTGCAAAGGCTGAGAAGATACACCTAAGGGACAGGATGGGGCTTATAAAAAAACAGTTTGCGGGCTCTGGTTCTCATCTTTCAGATGGGCTTGGGGATTACTCTATGCTCAAAGTAAATAAAATGCTTGAGAGGAATCCGAAGTACACCCAAATGTGGACCATCCGCTGGCATTTCTATAGATCATGTTAAGTGTCTGTTAAAAACAAACTTCTTACGTTATAATTACCTAGGGTCTGCTACCCAAGGACCCCAACGCGTTTTACAGACAGTGATGTGCTAATCCGCAAAACCGTCTGGGTTAAAGAAAAAAGTATATAAACGCATTCATTTCCACTCTCTAACTCCTGGTTCTGCCGTTCGCACACTCTAGTTCCTGCCGTGACCACTGTCAAATCAGACTTGACAGGGTCTAAAGCATGCTTCCCCAGACGGATCACAGGAGTCATTAAACAGGAACCTCACCGTCTTTATCAAGGCACGTAATATTTAGAATACACCTTTTTCTGAGTAGTTCGAAATTTTTATGATCGCTTTCAGAGCATCCCCGAAATCCTTGTGGAATCTTACACTTAGCGTTCAACTAAATAATAAACCATAGTGGTCAAGAACATCCTCAATTAGAGAGACCAACAGTAATACTTCTTCACTTTAGAAACTTGCTCAAATGCCCTTTCGCTACATTTTCTTTTGAAAATCTCATTCATTTAGAGAAAGGTAATACAAATGAAAACAAATGCTGAGTTTCAGTCCAAGACACAAAGATTTATCATCAGATAAGAGGGATGATTTATAATACTTTGACTGCAAAGAAAGCTCTGCTTGGAACCAAGAGCCATCAGCATTTTTTATGAATAATATTTGTGGTTAAGTTTCTATTGGGAAGGATGATCATTTGCTAACTTTGGCAAAGGCTGTGCCCTATTATTCATCTACATTATAAGTAGATATGACTCTCATCTAAGGCTATTTCTGAAGGATGACAATGTGTGAAATTCTAACCTTCTGGAAACCCAAATACACCATTCTAAGAGGGCACTGCTGCCCGTAGGCAGCGAAAGACTCAAAGATAAACACGTGATTTAAAACCACAGAAGAGCCGACAGAACCCTGCTGAGGTGTTAGTTAGTTAGCCGATAACCTACGGTATCAGCTGGCTAACCTTTCTCCATGTCATTGAACTCAGTGTAAACAGAAGACTGTTTTGCAGATCACAGATTCTAGGCTTAGCTCTGGTGTTTTGACCTGGGACAAGTCACTTACTCTCCGAATCCTGTTTCGACCTCGTAAATAACGCTGGTTTAGATGACCGCTAACATTATATGTTTTGTGAATCACTTTGACCTCTCTGACAAGTAGAGATAACCTTCGTGTTTTACCATCGACCCTCACAGGGTCGATGAAAGGAT